GTGGTGTTTAATAGCTGCAGCAATAACAGAAACTGTATTTATTATTATTCATTCAACTTATCTGAGACGACAAACAAGCATGTAACTAATCATGGCATCATAATTAGCAGCAAAATAGTTCAGATTTTGGAACAACTAGATAAAGGTTAAGCGACATTTATCCCCAGATGACCAAACAGCATTTTGTAATAAAAGCTTTGGGGACAGATGGGGACAGTTCTGCAGCCAGTTGTCCTCCAGAGAATGAAAACGCTCTCTGCTACCTTCAACACAGCTTTGTCTTCACTGTCGCTCTTCATGTTTCCCGATCAGGACGAGTCACACATACTATAATTGATATGAGATTTAGGGGATATATTTCAGTGTAATTAGAATCTTGATAATTGGACTAATTAGATCTAATTGCTATATGAGAATGACTTTGATTAAAACAGGTTTCTCTCCTCAAAACGAGAGTAGGAAAAAAAAACAGTTGGGTGACATTGATGAGGTATAATACTACACTATAGCAATTTGATAATAATCATGTAAGTATGTGGTACACTACATAGGAAGAGGGTATATATTATCAGATAACAGCTAATAGTAATTATTATTATTAGTAATAATTTGTCAATATCACACGTGATGAGGTTTGCACAGGTCGAATGTGAGCTACCATTAGTATCTCATCACCGTGCTGAGTACACAAAATGTGAAATACAGCCAAAGTAGCCTTTAAAGTGTAAAATTAATTCAGCATGTTTATCCTCGACCAAAAGCATTAAATTGGCCCGATCGAATTACAACAGCCATATTGAATCAGGTGCTTTGATTTTGCTCAGTGCTACTCTGTGAGAAAAAAAGAGGAGTATTGAAAATTACACTTGTAGACATCAAATAAACTGGAGGGTCGGCTGGAGTCTTTCATGCGTGTTCAAACAGATATCAGCGGCACAGTAACGCTTGACAAACAGATCATTCCTGACATGTTTTCAGACTTTTTCATTTTCCCAGAACTAATTTGCAATTGTCAATACCTGCAGTTAAAAAAAAGGTGCATAGCATAGTGTTTTCTTTGATTTTCGACTTCATTATTTTTTTAATTTTATTTCTATGCCTTTTTAGATCACAAGCGTGGAAATGTGAAAACAATTACACAAGAAAGCCTGATCCTCACCCAATGAAACAAAGACTTTAAATAAGAAATATACATGTGTGTACTATAATATATAAACAATCATATGCATTGGAAACATCTCCTCCCAAAAGATGTATTTTGCAGTATTTCTGTCAAAGTAGATGACGTTGTCACCATTTGGAATAAAAAAAACTTTTACATAAAACCTCTAGAAGTTTTCATTCGTGTCAACTTGGTTGTACTTGTATTGATACATTTAAAAAAAAATGTTTTTTTATCCAATTCACAGTCCCACCTGTAACGCACACACAGTCTAAGTACTTGTATACAGGTCCCATACATACTGCAGATCTCTTTAAGACATTAGCCCACTTCATTCCAATTCATCGCGCTGCATTTATTTTACTTGATGAATAAAGTGCTCCTGACTGCGACACATAAATGAATGCACTATGTTAAACCGCTCGTGTGATTCTCCGACTGTCTGAACTGAATCTTACTGTTTCAAAGTCTTTGCTTAATAATGCATGAGCATCTGATTTGCACGTTTGTGTCAGGACGCCTTATAAAAATCTCAATGAGCTCAGTCTCTTGTGGCTCAATAGATGGCAGTAATATCCCTCAATCACTTCAGTATGATTCCTTTCCTCAGTTAAAATACAAGAATATACAGGCAAGTGTGTGTGTGTGTGTGTGTGTGTGTGTGCATACTCTACTCGCTTGCATAGTCAAAAAATACTGTACACACCCTCTGTCTCTCACATTTGTCTACAGATGCGCATAAACACAGACACAGAGATAAAAACCAGAGTTCCCAAAATGCCAAAAGACGACGCGGGGCGAGATGACATCATTAAGGCAAAAAAAATAAAAAATATATCTGTAAATAATCCCTTTTGTCGGCATCTCTGTCAGTCCTCAGGTAATGTAGACAAACCCAGAATAAGTCAAACAACACAGCGGGAAAGACAGATGAGAGACTGCTGCGTCTTTAACGTCACTGTGAAAGCCAGCACTGCCACTGCATCTTTCTAATAGTCTGATTAGGTGAGGGCAAAAAAAAATAAATAAAATTATCAGCCTTTAGCTCAAAGATACTGTAATGTGTGTGCTTGTAAAGATGAAATCAATAGCAGCAGCACCTTCACAGGGCATCAGGGAACAGCCGAGTCTCCAACTCAATACAATCCGTACCTATAACTGACAGAAATGTCTCATCTCACCGAACCCAGCAACTGCTCAGAGGTAAAAAGCGGCACTATGAATAATCGTGAAAACCATTTAATTGTGTCCCTTTGTGCGCAGTCTGCCCGGGCTCTGTGTTCATTTTTTTTTTTCTTTTTTGTATTCACTTTCCCTCAAGATAGTCTCTATGTCGTCATTTGTTGGCAGGATACGCTGGTAATCATTTGAATTCCCTCAGTATGTTCAGAAGATGTCAGGGAGTAGTCTCTGATCTTGTTTAATATGTGACCAGCAGCTATAAATTACAAACTCCCAGAAATGAGGAAACATGGGTACTTTTAAATCTCCAGGGAGCGCTCGCTTTATGTCTCTCTTGCACATACATACAGTAGACTCTCTCGCTGTCTTTACTCTCCCCCCCAGTGCAGTAATGGTAATCTCCTCCCCTCAATTTAGTTGACATTCAAATAAAAACAAATACCTGTGACTTTTCTTGTTGAAATAAGCAATTTTGCTCTCAGTCTGTTTTGATGCTCCATGGGCATGCGGGTGCTACCTGGATGCTTTTAGCAAATTTGGCCGAGGTGTTTGAAATTCGGCGCTCTGTTTGTATTTCATACATTTTTGTTTTCTCATTAAAATCAAATGCTGTGAGCCACAATAAAGATGAAACGTAATTTCCACGCATTTTTGCAGAGGACTGGGAGACAACAACAAAAAAAAATTCACGGGGACATCATTGTTATAGCTTGAGCAGCGTTTGGTTTGGCTTTAAATGCGACACTGTCACAAAGCAAATTAGCTGAAATACGACTGATTATTTTGTCCTGAAAAGCAGAGCACAAAGAAACACTGACTGTTGATTGTGCAGTCTTGAGATCTAAGTCAAATGTAGGCAAGTACAGATTTAATTAACAGACAAAAGAGGACTTGTGACTTCTGAAAGTATCAAATATAAAAATTATAGTATTGTGGGAGCTGAATTTCTGCAATTCCTCACCAAATTCTTATGGAGTGCTTTCCTTTCCTTCGGGACAGATGAGGCCATCAGGCTCTGGAAATTGCTTTGAGTGTGCCTTGTTTATGTTGGGAAATTAAAATTGAGTTATATGCGATTTAAGCTATACCACATACAAACTCATTTGGATTTCCCTCGAAAGACACTCGACTACTTTATCTATATCTGTTAAGGAGGTGTTCTAGGCACGTCTTGTTGTCAGAGTCTGTCTGGTTGATGCTGTATATTTCAGCGTCTGTGAGGCACAGAAACCACTTGTCACCCACGTTTTTCTTTCTTTTGCTTTTTTTTTGCTTTTCTTTCCCCCACACATTTGAATTTTGCAAGGCTGAGCCGGGATAATGAGTGGTGAGACTTACTGTAGGGAGAATGTATACTCCTCCATCTCCTCCGCGGAGAGGTTCTCCATTGAAGGCTGCATCTTCTGTTTGTCTGCCTGCCGAGGCGGTGCACTTCTGCCGCTCATGCTGGGGCCACAGCTATTTGTCTTCTTGATTGGCTTCTTCTGTGAGGAGCAGAAATCGGGGAGAACACATGCGGATGTCATTTGTAATCAAAGCAGGAAACAGGCCTCTGAATTTATCTTGGGGGATGCACACGGTGACAGTGACAGTGTGCGTGGCGCTTTGGAGCCTCTCCTATATCTCACCCGCGCCTCAATTGACACGAGACAAGAATGACGGCAAAATCGCATACGGCATGCCATCCTTCAACTTGAGTTCATTTGGGAAACATGCGTACAGTGATGGTGGCGTTAAATATGTGATATTTGAGCAGCTGGCACTGTTTTTTTCCACACAAGTCGTTTACTGTCATCGTCATAAACACAGTCAAATGGAGTTAGGAAGTGGGGTTTTAAATTTTTCACTAAGGTACTTGGGAGCAGATATTATTTGTTAAGCCGCCAACATGTTAACGGCTTGCTTTCCCTGGCCGTGTCAGCCCTGCCTGTGTTGCCCTTGGGTGGGCTTAGTGCCTTTCTGCTTGAAGTTGTGAAATACACACTGATGTATGTTAATGAGATCCACAGTTTGGAATAAGCAAGCTGCCTCTTTTTTCCACCCCTTTCTGACTCTACCTCTCTCCGTTTTATTTTTTATTTTTTTCTTCATCTTCCCTTTCCTCCATCCCTCTCTGTCTCTCCCTCTGAGATAAACTAGGCCCAGGAAGTAGTAAATGGGCAGAGTCCCATAAAAGCTCCATCCGTTTTCATAGGGCAATCTTTGCCAAAGCAAGCTTGGATTCCAGAGTGATGATCACAATAAAAAGGTGGAAAAGAGTGAGAGAAAAAGGCAGAGAGACGGGGGGGAAAATGCAGGAGATATACCACAATGTTCTCCAGTGTCTCCACACAATAAATTTAATGCAATACCTTAAGAGTGGATTCCGTATATAGCTGAATTCCTGCCCTGTGGGCAAAGTGGTCGCCTGGAGAAAATTCATTTTAATTAGGCCTGCACTGCAGGTTGAAGGGCTGAAATCTGATCCCTAGCGCTTCCAGGCTGGGGCAGGTTGGAGATCACTCCACTTAATCATTAGACAACTGGGTTCCAACCAAGACATTTGACAGAGTTAGCAAGGTTTTAAAGATAGGCCAAGAGGGGAAGGAAAAACATGGTCTGCAGAGGCTGCAGAGATATAAAACCTCATATCAACAAACTCATTTATTTAACAGGTCATCCCTGATTAATGGTGGTCCAAAGAGCCTCTTGTACATCAGCAGGAGGAGGTTAGTAGGAATAAAGACGGGGAAGAAAGAGTGGCGGGTATATGTGTTTGAGAGAAGGAGGCTTCATGTTGTTCATAGGCGTCTAACTATCTCAACAATAACATCACAACAACAAAAGGCCGCAGCAGAGGCACAATGGAAGGGGCGGACCGGGAGGCAGCAATGCCAGATCAGCACATGGAGTAATTTTGCAATTACCACTTCAAAGTATGGCAGGTAACACGCAGGCTTTGATTAATTTAGCTTAAGTCGTCTGTAGCCCAGGAAGAGGCGTGTTTAGAACGGTTTGGAGGAAGAAAAAAAAAAGGCGAGGCCTGGCTAGCGTTGCTGATTTCACACAATTTGAGCTGCTTTGGCTTGTCAAGCAGATCAAAACTGGCTTTGAAGGCTGAAAAATACCTGTTAGTGTGAAATGTATTTTGACAAATCTCAGATAATAAGCCGGGGAGGTGCGCGCAAGGCCGCAGAGAGGGGCGGGAAGGAAAGGGAGGGAATGGAAGGGGAAAGCAGAAAGGGTGCTCATTTTAAGGGTGGGAACACTTCCCCTTAAATCACAGTGTTACCTTGTAGTGATTCCCACCCTCTGCTTTCTCCCTGCATGGATCACTCTTCTCTCCGGTGCTTCCAGAAATGGCTCCTGATGAGAAATTCTTGCCTGCACGCCCAAAAGAGAAATAATGTGCAGTAAGTGTAAAGAGGAAAAGAATATTTAAGGTTGTTTTCTCTTGCATACCACACTTTATCATTATAATTTCAGGGCTGAGTAATATTAATACACTTATATAATAAAAAAAAGGGGAAGAAAAAATATATAGGGAGATACAGTAAGATATATAGATATGGATATATATGCAATTACAAATGATGAAAAATCTAAAAATAAATTACATTTTGGTTATGATACATTTTCACACATTTTCCCATCATTTCCCTTCTTCTGAAGTGTTTTTCATCCTCCATTTCTTTTTTTCTTTTCTCTGTCTCGCATTTTTTTTCTTGCTGTAATTTAAATGGTAAGCCGCCAGATGTGTGTCTCATGCTTGAAGAGTCGAAGATCTGCATTATTTAGCATATTAACATTCACAGAATTTAAAAAAGGGTTCCTGCTTTGCCTGGAGGTTGCAATTAAGTAAACCTTAGCTTGATACATGTAAAAATCTCACTATGTGAAACTTTTTTTTTCCCCCCGTGGAACCAATCACATCTATATAATACATATGGAAGCCTCAGCAATGATATAATTTTTCTCCTGCTGTGGGATTAAATATATCAGTAATAATAACTTAAATATTAGCCACACATCAGAAATCCTCCTGACAGCTAAATTTTTACTGCATTTAAATGGCAGGAAGATTCTGCTCACCTCTATTTTTCACAGAGTCTGAAATCAGATTTCACACAGATGTAGTTTTTAATTATCACTCCTTTGCTGGTAAACATTTGCCCTGGTGTTATAGTTATTCTATTCTCAGGATAAATTTTTTATTTCTACATTATAAAGACGTTACATAACCGTGTACTCAGTTGTGTGGTCACATCAGGGCTTGGGATAAACACATGCCAGCCACAAGATTAAAACAGCAGATGACTAGAACTGACCACTTTGTTAAATGCAATGTTTTGCTCTCTTTCTTGTTAGTCACTGCAGGCCAGGCCCTTTCTGGTTTCAGTGACCTCCTCCAGAAGACTCTAAGCCAAAAAGTGCTCAGTAATGACTCAAACAAGGAGAATAAGAGCCTGAGAAATATACCTGGTCTTTCAAACTCCCTTGTTACCTATCCAATCGAGCATTCACAGTATGCACAGAGACTCCACCCCTGCAAACCACAGGAACTAAAGGATCTAAACACCATGGGACACCTCCAGACATCCTCTGTGCCAGTTTTTACTGGTTAGAACTGGTTTGGTGACGTGAAAAGAACTTGCACAATATTAGACAAGTGATTTTAAAGTTGTGTCAGATTGGTGTGTCTTAGTATAAAAAAAAGTACAGGTCTTCAAGTGTCAAAAAAATCAAAGAATCTTTTTGTAAACTATAGGATGTTACCCTACCTTGTTTTAAAAAGCATAGTCAGATTAAATAGCACACAGTGACACTGCTGACTTTAGTTTACATTGGACAGAAGTCTTTTTAATGTTGCACATGAGTACTACGTCTGTGCTCATGTGCAGACAGTCTGAGTCAGAACAATGCAATGCTCTCACACACAAATACACACACCCCTCATACTCTATTAGCTGAAGCATCAACCAATATAAACTCACAGACTTGGACCACCGTGGATTAGGATCTTTTAAGAGACTGTACTACCACACACACACAAACACGAACTTATTACACTAGGCCCCACTTGCTTACGCTCAGACGCTATGGAACGAGAATCAGTGCGGAGGCAGCATCGACAGCTCTGACAGCTAAAGGCTACGTCCATGAACTCAGAGTGCTAGAGCTGCCACAACTCCAGCCTCCCTGGGCACCCAAGGCCAACAACAAACTCCTTGTTTCCCCCTCTGTGCTCTGAGCTATAAGACCAGAACACATACTCATCCACTGCACACACACACACACTCTGTATTGATGCACCCACACACAATAAGGCAAAGATATTAATATGTAGACACTTGCATATATGGACAAACATTTTCCAGGGTAGAAATGTAAGAGTCTACCTCACAAAACGCATAACTCAACGCGCCTCTTTTCTTTCTTGCTTACACACAAAAACAGGCCAAGTAAAGAGAAAAGCCCGAGGCCTGTAACACCGTCGAGACCCCATCACTGTGTTACTGGTGAGATGGAACCAGACTGAGATGGCAGTTCTTGTTCACCTAGGCCCTTAATTGCCTGATGACTGGTCCAAATTTACAGAGGAATCGAAGGTTAGCAACTCACGGATTACCCTTGAGTCTGTCAGGCTCTCATGTTGAGGTTGCTATGATACGGTGCAGATTTATTGTTGCTTCACTCAAGTTTTTTTTTCTTTCTTTCTTGTAATCCATTGCATTTTAATGACTATCAAACACTGCAGTGCATACTAATGTGTAAATAGTTATGTGCCATTATATCAGGAGTTACCGGTAAATTCTGTAGGTCTCGCAGGTTAAATCTGTCTACATCGCACCTGCTGAATCAAACACAGCCTTCACTTTTCTGGAAATTCACCTTCCATTGTGTTTGTCCCATGCAGTCTGCTTATGCTAAAGTAAAGCTTTAAATGTGTGTTTCTGCATACATTTGGAAGTTGGACATTAACATTGTCGAATAAATCAACAGGAAGTGGCATGCGGCTGATTGAGAGTTTATGATGTAACATCGCGGTTTGAAATGCTGATGACTGGGAGTGGCCTGGAGGGGGGAAAAAAACATCCTGAAAGTAAAGGGCAACGCTCCAAAAGAGAGATGAGATGAGGAATCCTCGAAATCACCATCTATGCTCAAGGGGATGGATGTTAAGATGCCTTTGTGGGATAAAATAAATAAATGAGTTCAAAAAACGAGAGAAAAAAAAGGAAGCAGTGTCATAGTTACGGCACACTCATCTGCATGCTCATAGTGATCCACTAAAGGCTATCATGAAACAAGATGCTAATCTAATTAGTCATTTGGGTTCAAGTAAACCCATACTAACTGGATCATTCAGTTAATGCGAAAGGTCACTTAACCCATTGTGCCTCCAGCCGATCACTGCGGTAAAAAGCCAAATACACTCCGTTCTGCTTGGACAAGTCAACTGACGTAAATCAGATTATTACCATCCGATAGCTAATAATAATAATCTGAAACAGAAACACATTAATGCCCACATAAAATTGTTTTGATTGAAACTCGTCAGAGTTAAAATCTTGGTTTGGGATGTCAGGTTTAGTTCCGTATAGACACCTCACCAACGCTGTGTTTCTTCTGTGGGGATTAATTAACTTAAGGCCCGAGGAATGCAATCTTCAAGTCTCACTGTCAAGCTCTGCACTGTGCAGATTATCGCAATGACAAGAGATCTCCATATACTTGTCCTGACTCAGAGACAAATGGGTAATGAGGAAAATCTAGGCGTTACATGCAGAGAGAAAGTGAGCTCCACGCAGAAGACATCAGAAACAGGGAGGCATGAAATAGGAAGGAAATGTCTGAAAACCCTCAGACTTGACTAAAAACTGAGAAGGAGGTGGGGTAGGGGGGGTAATTCGTTCCTCTTTTCCTTGCTGAATTGGATTTCCATTTTTGGCTAGGTTAAAGTTGTCCATCCAATCGCTCCATTCAACCTTGACGTATCACCCCATCTGAACACCATAATTCGCTCCAGAGGTAATGCAACATGAACGGATCTGTATGCAAATGAGGCACAAACGTCAGGTCGGCTTAGGGAACGGCGCAGATGAGGTGTTGTGCAGGACACCTTTTGATCCGTTATTTCACTTGCGGATTGGGTTCACTTCCCAAGCAACCTCCTCACCTGTGAGAATGGGCGTGCGTGCGCGCAAGTGTGTGTGTGTTGACATCTCTGCCTGCGTGCAAGCCAGAGTTTGAAGCCGTGTGCGGTGAAGAGACCTGGTACCTTTTGCCTTGTGTGGCAGAACATAAATCTCCCATAGTGAGTGCTCCTCTCCCTCCCTCGCTCTCTTTCTTTCTCTCTGGAAAGGCAGTCAGTTCGTTGGGGACACTTCCCTTGTGGGCGTTAGGATCTCTGTGGGGGGTCACAGGTCAGCCAGCGGAGGAAGCGACAAGCTGTGAAATGTAAAAGACCAATTTCTTCCACATGTTTCAGTGCTGGGAGAACACTGCCAAGCTGTCAGCCGGCATCACGTTTAAAATGGGCCAGGGTGCTACCCAGCAGACCTGTCACAACTCATTTGTAATTAAAAAGCCTGTGTGATGTTTAAAGCAGAGCACCCCAGAAACTTTTGAGGACTGTTAAATAAAGATGAGCTGTGCGTGCAAAAAAATAGAAAGAAAGAAAGCGAGAAAAGGAAAAAAAGGCCAGTGTATTAATAACAAAGAAGCTAGCCGGTCGTCTTTGTTGAGGATCAATACCAAATGAGTCTGCACTTGATTTGTGGCAATGGCCAGAATGGTAGATGACTAAAACTAGTATGTTTTTTAAAATAAGGAGATGGACTCTAATATTATCATTATTATTATCAACAAAATCATTAGCCCCAATTAAATGTGGTTATGATTAAATATGGGACTTCAGCATTTTTATCGCTTAGCTCAAACTTTGGACATTGTAAGATTCATACTTATATCACTTCACTTAGTAATGAAATAAAGCAAAAACTATATTAACCCAGGCCCTCTACTAATATACCTGGGTTGGACCACCACATAAGCAAGGAAACCATAAAAAAAACATTTCACCTACGTAGCTAAAGGATACCTTAATACCTACGTTGTATGACACAGGATATTATCTCTGCATGCTGTAAAAGGAAAGCAAAGGAGCGCCCATCCCTCACTTAAACATGACTTGCATGTGTTAAGATTTAAAGAAGTAACTACAGGACACAGGAAGAGGTCACACATATATGAGGGAACACACAAACTCTAAAAGCCTCTCCTTGACTTGAAGCAACAGTAAAGACTGAACCAAGATGAAGTCTCATAACTAAATCTAAAATTTCATCATCTGTTTTATATCTTATCTTCCTAAGGAGAAATCGTATAAAATAAAGCTAACCAGATGTTATTGAAATGGTGAGTTGTGGATAAAAAGGCAGATGAAGTTAAGATGGTAATCAGAAATGCATTGCAGCATGTAAGCGCCTACTATGTATTGAACTTAAAGAAGGAATTTCGGTCAACTGGCAGAAAATTGCTATATAGCTTTTTTTATAGCTCGAACTCGATAATTATAAGTTAGTCATCCACAGTGAACCAAAGCCAGACCGCAAAACACAGAAATGTGTGTCTTCCAGGTCATGTAAGCATGTAAAATGTTTAGTTTGGCTCAGCTGGACACAGAATATAAAGAAGAAAATGTGGTTATAAATTCCAAAACCTTTGTTGTGCTAATCATGGCAGCTAGGCTAACCACTGTGCACCAATAGCTAGCTTGATTGGACTTATTTAACCAGCACTTTACATGCCAAGTTTTTGTTTGCTTGCTGAATTGGTGGTTATATTTATCTAAATGTCTGTCAACTATCAGGTTCTGCTAATGTTGTGCACAATACTTTGCCTATGCTAACACTAACATTAGAGTCTATATATTTTACACATAATCTAACTGAGAAAACAAATATAATGTTTGTCTGTCAAGCATTCCCCTACCAAACCCTACCCTCAAGCACATTCACCTCAGTGGAGCTTTGCTGTAAGGGAGGCCTGTCATTCTTCTTTTCCCAGTGTTGGTGACATTAGGGTGACATTTTCTCCACACTGTGGCATAGTTGGGGGTTGTAACATCGGAGCCCTACCTGGCAGAGATGAGGAAGAGCAAGCAGAATCAGCTGACAGGTTGAGAGGGGACCCCCGGTGAGAATGTACCACAGAGGGATCTCCCGCTCTGCAGCTTGGGTCTGTACAGGCCTGCTGTTGGGACTGGGGATGAACGAGCTGAGGACAGAGCTGGTTCTGCGATGGGGGCTTGGGCTGGAGTGGCAGCTGGTTCTGGTGGACCTCAGATTGGGGAATAATAGGTTGTTTAGAAGAGGGGATTGATAGAGTGATGCAGTGCTCTGGTCCCCGAGATGCTCCAGGTGGGAGTCTCTTTACCTAAAACACAAGAAACCAGAAGAGGAACAGGCCTGCTTCCCGTGTGTCAGAGGTCTGCATATGTGTTCAGTGAACATTAATAGCTTGTAATAATCAGTAGTTATGTGCATAATGTTCCATTGCATCATCATTGTTTGTGGGAAAACATCTTGCTGTATGAATAACATTACAGGTGTTCAAAACTGCAGGCACAGAGAACTACTAGCATTTGTCAAAGTGTGCAGTAAAACAATTCAATTAAATCTATAAATGTGACAAGAATATTGTGCTTGTTGTTGTGCTGTGCATATGCAGAGATACAAAAAAAAATATCCCACAGCAATCAAAGCGACCGTACCAACAGTAATGATAATGCAGTAATACAAACAACATGTCACAGTCAAAGGGACAAATAAAGAAGCAAATCCAAGACAGAGAGCTTTGTTCTGGTTTTTAATTCAATTAAGATGTTTACTAATCTAATCAATGCATCAGCTCTAATGCTTTCAGAATTGCTGGGTAAAGATGTGGTTCTTGTTTGCTCTCTGGGGCCAATTTTCAATTTCTCTGTAAAAGCTTTTTATCGTTGAAAATCCAACCCCCCATCTTTTCAGATCCACCGTTCTGCCCCCTAAACATTCCAAATAAAAGAAGAGGATCAGAGTGAAAAAGAAAGAAAGAAAAAAGAAAAGTAGCAGACACAAGCACATGGTTTATAACTGAGACCAAGAAATAAACACGCACATACTGTACCTGCACGCAATTACGAATTTAAATAGAATAATCGAGAGGTTCGCGTCATCAAAACAAACATGTGAACACGGGGTTTCGTAATTGCACACACACCTGAAAATACAGGTTGCACAGCCAGTGGTCGAGATCAGAGGAGATGAGGGCTTCAATCTTTTTAAACTGGTCCAGCTGTGTGCTGGGCTCGCCCCTGATCAGTGGCGTTTTGAACCTGTGTACATAACAGAAACCTGTCACTGTACAAAGAAATGTTGATGAGAAATACTCAGAAAAGTTGCAGGTTGCATTTTTTTGGACTGCAGGTATTTTCTCTTAAAATGAATTACAGCCATCCATTTTCATTACCAGCTATCCTATCTGGGGTAACTGGAGGGGCAGAGAGGCAGGGTGCACATGCTAAAAACTAACACGCTTAAGCTAAAGAACTTGTCTTTGGACTGAGTCAGGGGGAAACTCGGAGAATAATAGAGGGAAACACGTGAAGATCATTTTGCTGTTCATCACAGTGGTTTTAACTCACCTGCCCTCGACCAAACCGAGACTTGGCCCACAAGCAGGAAATGCTGCCCAGGCCAACGCAGAGCTGACGTGACTTCTATCTCCCGGTGCTGTGATCAGCTGGAAAACCAGCACCGTGGAAGGGATGATATTACAGGTGGAAGGTAAGACCTGGATAAACATACAAAGAAATATAAGGAAAGAAGAAAGTTGCTCACAGTTTCAGTCAGCTGAGCGCACATGCCTGCAGGGCGCATGCATTAACGCATGCACACATGCAGACACATCAACAGCAGAGTAGAATGCTAACTGCCTTTTAATCTACATCCTACACTTGAATCCTCCCGTAACTTATCTGCTGTCTTAGGATCGTTCTAAACTGCCACTCTAACCCATCGAGCTCAGAAAATTGCCTAAAAGGAGATGTCGGCGTGATAAAGACTGCGGCATCAAACGCTGCGAAGAGGGCAACTCGAGTTTGCTGTTGTAGAGCGTGAGCTGACAGTTACCGAATTTGTGATTCAGAGAAGCCATCATCAATCAGACTGATAATATCAAGGGTGTCTTGCGCGAAGCAAAAATTGTTAGTGGTTAGCAGTCAATGGAAAACACATACATTCTTATTTACCCAGAGAACGGTGGGTTTGCTTAAAAAATGAACTGACAGTGAGGTGCGTGCGACATCATCCATCACTGGGTGGAAATATTTTATCCCTTTATTAGTTGTAATGGAAAATGCAGAGGACTTGTTTTAACACATAAATCATTTGTATCCCGTTCTCTTCAACCCCCCGCCCCCCTGTAAATCAGCCTTTGGTATGCACCTGTGAAATGATGGGTAGTAGTGTCTGACTCAGGACATAAATTTATGGAATAATATCAGAGATTATAGATATTGAGGATATTCATATTATTCATTTACTGTAAGAAATGTGACCTGCATAAATAGTCATTTACGTGCGCGCGCAGTGCCTTTGTGTAGACACGTGGGCATATGTGCGTATGTGGTGAGAGGTTTGTGAGACTTGATATGCTTCAGAGTTTTTTCTGCTCCTCTGTTTATGGAGGATCTACTTAAACTATTATAAATATCCAGGTTGACTTTTTTTTAAAGTGCTGAGGGGAAATTAATGGCTACAGTTGTGCAGTTCACAGTAAACTGATAAAAAGTGATTTTTTTTTGCAATAAGCACAACACATGACAAAAGATTTAAAAAGTGGAAAAGACAAGAATAAATTCATATACCTCCAAGGATCTTTCCTAATTTTCTTCCTGTCCACTCCCCTCCTCCCCTCTTTAATTAGAATGTGGATCATTTTTTTTCCTTTTTTGGTATAAAACTCTAAAATGAGTGTCGGCCCTTCTCAACTCTTTTCAAGCATTCTCACTCTTCTGCATATCCAAGATATTTCAAAACTAAGCGGCACTGTTTCTGTCTAAATCCAAACCCAGACACACAAAGCAAAGGGTGAATGAAAAAAAGTGGGAGAGAGATATGGAGAAAGAGGAAAGGAAAATAAGCTCCTGGCTTCCTCCTACCATCGCTAATTCCTCATTTCCTCTTAGAAGGCACTGCAAGCTCCACTGAAATCGCACGCTATCGTGTGGGCAAGAGGCGAGAGAGATGGAGAGAAAACCAGCTAAGCCAATCCTGGTAGTCTCAGACAAATCTGATCAACGTTCCAACTACTATCAATGAGGACAACAACAACTGGTTTGTCTATAAAGCACAGCTGAGGGCTTGGGGAGGAGAGGAGGGAAGGCAGAGTGACACGAGGCATTTACCATGCTGTACTTAAACCTTTTTCTTTTTCCTCTTTCTTTTTACCTCTGACGCAGAGCCCAGGTTTTGCTTTCAGTTCGTGCCAGATTTTACCCCATCTTTTATGTTTCATGGGAGCTTGTGACAATATTATCAGAATGCTCTAGCTCAGTGAATACACCCACCAGCACGCTGACAGTGTCCACATGTGCTAAATGCTCCAGCTAGGCCTTTAGAGTTGCCATCACAACAGTGAAGAAATGCTTTCTCAGCCTGTATGAGACTCTATGGGATCAAGAGGGACACTGCATTTAGTGGTTTCTGTTTTAAGGTTTTGCTTGTGAATCTTTTGTACCGTGCACACATCACTGAATGAATAAACCAAAGAGTTCTAATCCACTGGTCAATATCGACCATCTATAATAAGTATGTGGGTTTTTTTTTTAAAGATTAGCACAGCTTATATAGAAGATCCGCTCCTTCATATCCAAAGGTTTAGGAAAGGGGTTGTGAAATGTGCATAATTTCATCTAATGTAATCTGCTGTGTTGTTTCAATAAAAGAACCAAACGGGAAAACATATTTAGTCATCTATTATGAAATGGAAATGTAGGCTGACATTTTTAAAAATATGTTTCAAATACATATTTTTTGTCAGTTCTGCCTAACTTTTCTATTTTTGCTTTTATTTGCCTTGATCCGGCTCAAGCATGTGGCAGATGCTGAAAGACACACAGGAAGGAAAGGAAATGTTTCATTCCATTTGTGCTCCATTTTTATTCCAATAAAACATTATTTCTTCTATATGAATGAATAATTGATATTGGATTTGATTTACATGCATGGATTAAATGTCATGTTTGAGAAGTTGTTGTTTTATTCATATAGGGATCCCTAGAGAAAAACCTAGAGGCTGTGTGTGACATATTTTCATACGCTGCCTTTACAGTAATATAACTTCTCATAACCCTTTCAGTGTAGAAACTGCTCCATCTTCACTGCAGCTGATGAAAATAAAGGCAGAAGAAGAAAGAGAAATTCTGAAATAGCACCAGAAATGCAGTGTTGTAGCTTCTGTCGTTTTAGCACGTGCAGCTTTATTGTTTGACCAATTTATAAATATTATTTAATTTCTTGCCCCCTCAGTGTCAAAACTGCTTCCCGGTGAAAGATGTATTTTATATTTAGTTCCATTTTTCTTTGAAAAAATAAAAATTAAATTCAAGTTTTCCAATTGTCAACTGCAAAACAAAATTATACTATATTTATACTATTTCTTAACACTTAATAGTCACAACCAGGGACAGATTGTGTGTATTTTCCCTGATGTGTGTTGTTGTATTATTGTCAACAGAGAAAAGACGTATGACACTAAAATTAAAACTTTTCTTTTGTTGTCAGAGCTCAGTGGATATCACTCCATTAGAGCACACCCCATGCTTTGCCCTGATGCTTAAACAAAGCTTATACAAAGTGAAATTGTGGCTACCATGAACAGACTCTGGTTAATGTGGAGGTCAATGTCGTAGAAGCGTCCCCGATGCTCAGTGGGCTCAGTAGACGCTGCCCAAACGTGTTGCCCTTTCTTACTGCACCAGGCCAGAGCTGGACCCCCTAGATGGCTGTGAAGTGCCACTCTGACAGTATAGAGACCCCTGGGAAGTCTGTCCCTCGTGGCTCTTAGGCAACGCACACACACCTCCACGGGCTGGGGAGCACTCCTCTGGTCCGCCTACAAAAAAGTACAGGCTTGATTTTATTATCTTTCTTTATTCGTGGAAACTGTGATTATAAAAATATTTTCTTAGAGAAAATACTGTTATTTAATCAAAACCCTTATTGAACCAACATTTCTGTAACTTTGTAAATAACTGTGAGTGTAAATAAAGTTTGTCAAATTCTATTTGAGCAGCTTTTCTCTATACTTAAATATAAATATAAATTATTGTATGCTAAGGAAACTACGGGGCAATTAATAATTATATTAATAGATTTTGCCTGTCAACAGTGTCTTTGACTGCTGAGGATATATGAGACCCCCTGAGGAGTTTGCCAAATGGCATCTTAACGTCTGTATTATTTGTCATGTAAGCTAAATATTGTCCTTACTTTAATGCTGGTGGCAACATCATTAGAACAAACAAATGAACAGACAGATGGACAAACAAACTAAAAACCCTCATACGAGTAGATCTTTCAAGCAAGAATTACATTTTTATCTTTCAAAAAATAAATACTCAGATTACAGGTGTTTCAAATGTGATTCCACTAAAGACAAGCTCAGTAAAGTCACAATCTCCTATCTACATATCTCCATTCAATCCCTCAGCGTTTAAAGCTCAAGGCCTTGCTCTAGGGAATACCAGCATTCCTTGATAACAAAACTAGATTCCCTATTCAGACGACTGGTTAAAAAAACACATCCTTGTGTTACTAAGATTATCCCGTTAACCTTCAGGCTACATCATTCCACTTGCAAATGTCTTTGTTTGCTTTGGTGACATGTGCCTTGTTTCAGAGCTTAGGATGAGTAATAGTCTAAGCAGGCTAGACAGTCATTTTTATTTTGTTCTAATGAAACATAATCAGACAACAATGTATATAGTTTTTAGCCTTTTGTGTCCTATGGCATCTGTTGAACAGCAGTGGATGAAAAGTCAATCTAGTTTAAACAGAAAGCCCAGATCTTAGTCACAATTTATTTACTTTTTTAGCATAAACAGTTAATTTCGCCCATTGCTTGCCTTTGCATGGCAACGTTGTAATAACCTGTACAATGTAATTATGTGCTGATTCTAAATTTCAATGCAATTCATATTTGAGTTTAGTTTAAGTGTAGGTTAAGATTACAGCAACTCCACTCATGAGTTCATGTTCCATCAGGGGCACTTGCAAGGGAGTCTGGAAAGAATGAGACCCTGTGGAGCATGTGCATGTTTGTGTGTGTGTGATGTGACATCATGCACCATAAGCCACTTTACAGCATTTGCCATTTTGATTTCACACATCAAACAGGAAGCAGCACTGCAGCCACCTGATAGCAATCACAGATCACCACAACCAGCCGGAATATAAGCTTTCTTATGTGCACATGTCATTTTTAAAAATATATATTTATTTTATTTAACCAGTAACTGCATATTTTATAATCATTTGAAAAGCAGCAGGAGAAACTGTCCCATCAACAAGAAATGTTAAAGTCTTATGGGTGATATATATATATATTAGCCAATACACTACTTTTAAAAAACTAGAAGAAAAGTTGAGCTTATAGTTTGACTTCATCTACTTCTGCTTATTCACATCATAACATCATTTACTGCAGGCTTCTAGCTGGATTGCAACAACCCCCCCCCCCCTCCCCCCACTATATTTCACACATGTTAGTACTTTGTTGCTAAAATGCAAAGATTTAAACACATAAACTCTGAAACACAGAAACACAGAAAATATTCTCTACTCTTGGCTAGTAGAGAATATTTTTGTGTCATTGCAGGGGTGTTATATTAAGAACAGTATTGTGGGTACATGGCCATTGTAACCAAATCTATATGACGTTGGCAAAAATGGCTAACTGAATGTTAATATCTCCAAAAGTTGATTCTGTTCATCTAGACGTAGCGTTTTTGTGCTCATCCAGATGAACAAAAACAACTTTTGGAGATTTACTTACCTGGATGATTGAGCAAATGCCGCTGCAAATGCAGAATATTATGTGATTAATTGTCTTTTGATATTGAAATAATTATGCATTAACATCAAGATATTACTGTTTATCTACCAACCTATAGCCTAGAATAGCACAAAATTTGGTCCTTACTTTGCTAAGTTGTCGGGTAATACAACTTTATACTTATGTTACCATGAGACTACTGATACATTGCTATGATATGAACTACTTGTAACCTATCTGTAAGCTGCCATCTGAAGTTTTAAGCAGCTCTCCTGACCTAATCCTGCTGCCAGATGAAGGTAAATAAATCCACAATACAATTCGCACAGTGATACTCAACATATCATCCTATCCTAAATAAGTGTTGACATTATCTAAGGTCCAACTTCTAATTCCTATTTATTTTATGTGCTCAAATTTACACCATGTTAACCAGTCGCCAGGGGCAAATTCTGAGTGCTTGGCAATTAAAGACCTCAGTTCCAATCAATGATATAGCATCACTCAGGGGCTAGTGTCTATACTCATATGCACGCACTTTCACACAGTGCTGTTTGTACCTGAGATTGTTCCCTGCTATTTCACAGTCACGCACCACACACGTTCACCTAGCAAGGGCTGGTGATCCCCATTGCTCTGCCAGGCAATGCAGGGGTGTGTGTGCTGAGCCCTGCAGTAATGCCCCGCAATCTCCCCTCTGTGAGCATCTTTGCATACCAAACCAACTAAAACAATTTAGGCAGAAGCGAAATTAGTATAATTGGTGGCAAAGCCGTTTAGCCCACACATCTCACATTTGGGAGGAGGGGATGAAGACCTCCAAACCCCCACACTGGAACGAGATGTATGCATGCAGACAAGAAAGGAAGAGAAGGAGGAGGAGAAAGGAGCATAAAGAAGCACCGGAATAAAAAATAATAACGTCATACCGGTGTCCAATTTGTAAGCATTGTTATTATCAAGCCCACATGCTTGCACAGGCATCACAGGAGTCAGTCGAGACAGCAAGGTGAAGGTAAAAGGTGAAGTGAGCCAATTTTCCATATCAGAGGTGGTTTGTTTGCCCCAAGCTTGAGTTGTGCCTAAAGTGCCATAACATTACAGCACTCCTACAGATGAGATCAAAGGCTCCAGCGAGGGATCCTCCGTGGTTTTGCTGGCAAGCGGCCGTCCTTTCACTGAAATATCTTTTCAGGGCTTTCCACACATTGACTGATCACACAAAATGCACTCTTAATAGAGACAGGAAATGCCACATACAAAAACTTCCTTTCTTTCTAAGTATGGGCTAATATTCAGAGATTAAGCTTTCTCGTTAATTATTTTCATTTTAATTAGTATATCTTAATTAACAATGAACATTTACCCTTAAAATTTTTTGGCTTTGGAATGAAGGAGGGGGGGTGAAGAAAGGAGAGAATAAATATGACAATCTTTTTGGGACCTCCGGGCAGGATTACTGATGCAGGCTGCCTTAGTTATTAAACACGTTCTAAATTAAATGCCTCCATGAATTTTGCACAGAAATATATTTTCATAGTTTTGCATGCCAAATGTGACATTTTATATTTCAGATTCATCTCGCTGCAGTGATTTTAGGGAAATGTCATATAAACAAAGATTTTGTCATTTACCAAAGGAAATTACTATGCGTGGCAGGTTTGGCCATTGCTTTCTCTTCTTTCTGTCTTTCCCTCTCCCTCTTTTGCCCCCTATTCTGCCTGTGCTAGTTGTTTCAAGTCAGCAAGCCATAAAAAATCTTTATCTCAGTGAAACACAGCAATTTGGGAGATAATCGAATGGTGACTGGGGGGCACAAACGCCAGTCTGAGGAATTATACCACAATCTCCCCTGCATTTACAACCTTCCTCAAAGCCAGTTGTCACCCTGGAAGGAAAGCCCCCGACTGAAGATTCATTACATCTTTAAGCCAGCACGGTGGCATGGCAGCCTCATCCCCAGATGCAACACAACAGCACACTCCTCCCACAGCTGGTGATGCTACCACTAAAGCTGCAGTCCCCTTCTCTCTCTTTCCTACTCGGTTATCTTTTCTCTCCTCTAACTCTGTTCCCCCCTTTTTCATCTCTAAAGGCTCCCTTTTACTCCTACTTATTTTGCAAAAACCAAAGACAGCATCCACTCAGAAAAAAGATTCTTTATATGCTACGTAAAAATAAATTGTGTCAATATATATAGTGATATTGTGACTACTTATTTAGCATGCTGTATAAGCAAAGCTGTTTTAGTCAGTGCTGTATTGCAAATATATTTGCCTTTGCGCAGGCGTGTGCACATACAGGAGCGAAATTTGAAAATCTAGAAAATAAAGGATTTTTTTTTTTTTTGGATACTCTAACAGGTTACAGGATTTCACAAAATTACATCATTCACTTTTGTTTTTTGTGGTTATTTGTAAACACTTCAGGATCAATATCTTCTCCTGCGAGACCACTCTTTTACAGATTAAGGGTATGTCACTTCCTGTTTACATGCTTTCTGTCCTCGGTGAATGTGTGGCTCGCTCTAACAGATCTTACCTGCCACAGGGGCCGTGATGCTGCAGAGGAGGATTCTGGGAGCTCTGTCATCTGGCTGTATTTGGCCATCGCTTCTTCTTGGCCTTCCCCCAACGCTCTGAGTGACGGGCTTTCGACGTCGCTGCTGCTACGTGCACAAACACACACTTGTATGCGGTGCGCACAAACACAAGAGGCTAACCCTGTTAACAGCCACCTGCATTTTGGACCCTCTGTTGTTCCACTCTGTAGCCAACAGCGGCTCAATCTAATAACGCCACAACAAAACACTTTCCACTGTCTCTCGCTCTCTCTGTCTTTCTCTCCCCCTCCTCTTTTTCTTCTCTCTGCCTTTCAATCTTATCAGTGGTAATGTAATAAGCGGTTGCTTCGCTCTGTCTCCTCGCCACCTCTCTTAATTCCTCAAAATAAAGCAATATCACAAGGGCCCTGGCCTGCCTGTGACTGGGGATAAGATGCTTGTAAAAGGGAGGATAATTCAGCAAATAAATGCTGCGCATCAAAGGCGAGCACTCTTTCTTTTCTTTCTCTCCTTCACTCCCTCCTCTCTGTTTGCCTATCAAAAGTATTACATGTGCTTTCATCAGTTCACAACAAGGCACAATGTGCTTCCTAATGCAATTACTCAACCTCCATTAAATTAGAAACAGTGGAAACAAATGAATTACACATTTGTTACAAAAACCACAAGTCAGCTCCGTGTCTCTGCTCTTTAATTTTTTTTCTTTCACAGGCATAGAGAGAGAGAGAGAGAGAGAAAGAGAGAAAGTGAAATAATTTCTCATTCAATTTCAGGCAGATGTAGCCCTAGGTGATGCATAGAAAGTCTCCCATGTCTAATAGCCACCCACCATTGATATCAGAGGGAATTTACAGGGTTCAAGGCTGTCGAGAGGAGGTCATCTCGCTAAACTCCAAACCACATTCATCTGACAGGGCTGGTGTCCGACTGCCACCCACCCATAATACAACCCGGTGCGAGACGAGATGCTGATGTGTACAGTGGTGTCTTGATTTTATCGTGTCAGCCGGCGCGGTAGTCCGTAATTACTTAAAACTTAAACATGCTAAGCTGATTGCCTTTGGGGCTCTCGCTTCAAGATGTGATGTGTGATCTCTGAATAAAGCGGATGGACCAAGAATTGATGCACCTCCGAGCCCAGTGACATGGACAGATTTCTGTGCCCCGGAGCCATAGTACCCACAACGCAATGTCTGCCGACAAGAGAAGCCATGCGGGGGACACATGAATTACATTCCTTCCCGAATGTCAGTGGGAATACAAATGCTTTTAACACAATTAATGATTACAGTCATGTGACATAAATTTTACATATGGAAAGAAATATGAAATGGGCTGGACTTTACCATGGAAGCAGTGTGTTCATCATGGGTTGTGGTCTCACTGCCTCATCGCTGTCTCTTTGTGAACTGGGCTCCTTTAATTTAAAGTGGATATGTTGTGTTCTCACATGTAGCAAAACAGCAACATCTCTGCTCTGCACTATACAATACATGATCATTTACCTTAAAATCACCAGTGAAGAAAGCCATTAGTCTTTTCTTTCTCTTTGCCCACTCGCTTCTCTTCGGGGGTCCATCCTGAGCCACTTGCTGAAAACATGTTCAAAATCACATGCACGCGTTCTTTTGGATGCAGCTTTGTGAAACAGTGCAGTGCACCATAATGGCAGAATTAAGCACAAGGAGCAACTGTAATGCAATCTGCAGGCAATCGATACCGAGCCAGACCCTAAAGACATGTAGCGTTTGATGAGTATTTCTGCCGGTTTTACATTCAGTCAGCACATTCACACTCCCCATTCAGACACATTGACACTGCTAAGTGACAATGTCTCGCACTGCAGCGGCTTTGTGCGGCAGAATAGAGAAAGAAGAAAAACGCTATTATTTTTAAAATAGATGTGAAATCTCTGGTGGATAATGTGCTTTCAATGGGAGGTGGGAGTGGAAACAGTAGGAGAGCGCATACATATTATTGTCGAATAAGATAACACCGATCCCACTACTGATACAGTACACAGTAGATGCCGCTGATTATCCAGTGAGGGAAGATGAGTCAACTGTTGCTGTGACTTCGGAGTGACAGTAATTCATTGTTGAGTATTTTGTTTCCCGGTTACATTTACTTTCTATTCATGTAACTTGATACTCTCTCTCCTCTCTTTTCAAATGGGATTAGAACTAAAAATACAGTGGATGGAAGTCCTGCATTCCTGTGTTTACATATGCATTAATGTGTTTCTTTGGAACCTAGATTTGCCTACACAATGAGAACCTGCTGTTCTTCTATCCACTCCCATTTCTCTTCTGTCTGATCGAATGCAAGCACTTGTTTTGAACGAAGCTTCAGATCTTAAAGCTAGTTCAGAAAATCCTCAGTTGGAAAATGAAAAGTAGTCATGATCTTTTATTTTTTTCCTGAAAAGACCGTGAGACTTGTAAAGCACCGAGGAAATTCAGCTTCTGTTAGAGACAAATATGCATAATAATGCACAACAAAGTGGAAAGAGAAAAGAAGAGAGTCTGCATAAATCAAATAAATTAATGGTTTGAGCTTATCATATGTAGAATAGAATATCGATTTAAAATCCATGTTCTAATTTGGAGTCAAGGATGAATGAGTAATCTAACCTCTGAAGTACCTTAAATGCCCGCTGTTCAAAAGAAACATGAGTGCATTCAGCTGAGACCATCTTCCAAGAAAATGAAATGGATTGAGAAGGGAGGCGGGGGGGGAGGTTTGGGACAACATAGAAAAGAAGAAAAATGGAAAATGAGAAGAAGAAAATTAAGCCAAGGAAGTTACTCACTTTGCAAACAGGCATGTGAAGAGACAAAAAACAGATAGACGTACATGCACACATGCACAGACTCTATGTCCATTAGCCAAGCCACTGGTACACAGCATAATGGACATGGCTGATGTGCTGGTGAATATGGGATGATGACACAGATATTCCTCTTTGTAGCGCTGACCTGCTGCAGTGAAAGGCTGCCAAGCATGATCATGTCAGGCCGCGCACGCTCCTTCAGCTGCTGGGTGTAGTGGGGGATCACCTCCTCAGCTGTCCTCACTGCAAGAAATATTACAGAGGCAGCAAAAGCATTCTAATATTTAACAAAACTACAAGATTACCAAAGCATGCATGATTCTTTGAATATTATGTCAAGTCTCCCATTGCATCGTTGATCCAATCGCGCAACCATGAAATGAATTAATTAATTTTGCAATGCTGAAATAATATCATGTTACCTTTAACTTTGATTTTATGAGACATTTTCTGCTCTCCAATATATATTTGTTTTAATCAGATAATCCATTTAATTTAGTGCTATAAAATAGTACTATGTATATATGTATAGGATCAATCAACATTAAAACGAATAAAAGGATAGCATTACTTTTTACAGTGCTCTCTCTGCCCATTACCATCCTCCCTGCTTTGGGTCCAGCCTCTCCTCCCAGCTCAGTACTACCCTCAGCCTGGGTTTTGGCAATGGTATGGGCCTGGGAGGGCCTGGAGCCCGAGGCATCACCACCACTGTGGAGCAGCAGTCGCCGCTGAAGCACCAGATCACCCGCCTTCACCTCCAACACCTCCTCATCCCTGGAGGCTAGCAGCGTACCTGGAGAGATTCGCATCAGTGGGCATGTGCAGACACACGCACAACCAGACATACACAAACACGCACACACACGCACACGGATTTCCACTCGTAAACACTGGAACATGCATTCACATTCTGATGGATGAGCATATTTAGCACAACCAGAAACAGGCACAAACTGATAGATATGTGTATGTTTGCAAACAGTATGATGTACTGAAGTGGAAGTTTGTACAAAAACACAATGGTGAACAGTCAAAAAGCATCATATTCAATTCACACATCCACACGTTTGGCTTAAAACTATACTGAGGCAGGACTTTTGTTTAGAGAATGAACAAAAAAGAAATGCTGAATCCTATAATGTCAGTTTTTTATTATAAGAGGTGTACAAAAATATCTTTTTTAGTTCGTTTTTTTTTTTTAAATAGGATGAATCAGTGAATATAGCACATTTCATCAAATTGCTCTATTTCAGTAAAAGGCATTCTACAGCCTAGGCTAATCTAACATGCCCAGACTGAAATGGGACCAAGCCTCTACACTGAAAAAAAACATATGCAAAGTAGTTTTAAGTTAGTAACCTAAAAATCATTACTGAATGGAGAGAGGCATTGTTTGCAGTAGCTTATCATGCTCACTGTTTCTGTTTCAGTTTTGCTGTACTGGCTCATTGGTAGAAATGTGATGTATTCTTCAACAATCTCTATATTCAACGTGTGCAGTCCAACGTGTGCAAGAGCCAAATCTGTTAAAACTGCTTAATGCTTTTCACATAGAGGCTGATAGCGACGCCTAACGCCTTACAGAAAACCAGAATACCAGTTTTGTGGTCTTTCATCTCCAAGCCAAAGCAAAGGAATTCATCAAGATAAAAAAGAAGAAGAGCTGAAGATCCAAGGCAGACAGACAAGACTTCTCCAGGATTTTTTTTTCTTAAAAAAGGAAAGAAAAAAAGCTCCAACACTGGCCACTGTCCATTTCATTAATGTTTTGTTTTATTCAGGTTCTTTCTTGTGAAATGTGTATGGTGCTTTGTGACAGGCTGTAAAAGCCAAAACAAAAGCCTGAGAAGCAGTCACAAAATGTCAGGATCAGGACTGACATACTCTGAGCCCTCTGCAAAGAACACTTGAAGCCTACACCGGTGGGAGGCATCCATACAACTGCATAAGGTCATTGTCTTGAAGTCTATTGTAGCTCAGTAAAGTGCTAACTGGCAGTAGTGTTGGACAGTACAGAAGTACAAGCTCTCTCTCTCTCTCTGTGTGTTTTCCTGTCTCTCTTTCCTTCCCTTTCTCTCAGCCTATTGCATGAAGCAACTCTTAATCCAAGATCCTCTTTACTTTCTCTGTGGGATTTCATGAACATTCCAAAACAATGGATGGGGTTGCTAATCTCGGTGGTACAGCTAAATCCAAAACAATAGGAAATAATACAAGCCTGCTAAATTCTACCGTGTTGAAGCGGGCCTAAACCCATCACTTGTGCGCTGGAATTACAAGAGAGATGTGCGTCATGTCAACAGGATCTGGTATGACTGTCTTCACCCAGAACAATGCTAAGCTTAAACCATCTCAGTATTGCCTGGATGGCTACATATTTAAATGAAACTGAGCTAATGAGAAAAGGCATGACTACTGTGAGACAATAGGGTTGCTTGGAAAGCACCGTCTGCTGGTGAGCGTCCCTTTCTAGTTTACTCTTTGTTCTATGGTAGTGCTGCTTTTAGTGTTAGTGGGAAATACAGCATCATATTTTTGGGTGGATGGTTTCTGTTATTTACATTTAACATTAGAAAGTAGAACACACAAGAAAATATGACATTCTTGTTCACAAAATTGTGTTTTTAATGATATTTTAATACAGATGGAAGTTAACAGAAAGATGTATCTCTAAAGTCTGAAACAAATATAGTGCTTCTGCACTGTCTACACTAACCAGCATGTCTGTGAATTATACCAATGATTTAAACCAGCAATACAAGCAAATACATGCAAACTAGTTTAAGTGATACACATAGGTTAAATGTGCAAAACTGGATGAAATTTGGCTAAATATCACAATAAATCAAGGACCCACAAATCACTATGGCACTGTAGTATAGCTAATAGAGGATACATACCAGGTAAGTCAATGAAGGTGTCTTCGTCATCCAGCAACGCGGTTATTCTTTCATACAGTTTCTTTTCATCAGCAGTGAAAGTTTCTGTAAATCCAAACAAGTATATTTGAATGGTGCCAAAAAAAGAAATATATTTCTTTTTGTGTGCTTTAATAATTACTTTCTACTTATCAGCCAACTCAATCTAAACTGCATCTTAAGGTGCAAATTAGTCGTGGGGAAGGGTGAAAATCAAGTGTATGTAGAGGGGTAATGAAATGGGAGCATTAACATGCCTGTTAGCTGGTCTGTCATCATGTGATGAGATTTGATTTGGTGGATCCTTTGATATTACACGGCAGTGATATCCAAAAGATACAGGTGAAATGCCTTCTCCATTAATAGCCAGGTTTCATTATAACATGCATATTACTTGGCTCCCAAGAGCTCGCCTTTAATAGGCCTACTTTAGGAGGGGGCTGCAAACTCCTGATATGGCTCTGCACGTGTCATTTGTGATGAGAGAAAATGCCACGGTGAAATGAAAACTGACCAATGATACATGACCTTCATCAATGACAACGACTTGGGTAGCCAATCTAGTGATGCCATCACTTGGTGTATTTACATAGACCGCCGTGACATCACGGATGGCAGCCTGTTACTAGTGATCTCTCTCACCCCTCTTTAATGAACCGAGGAGAACCATTATGACAGAGAATGGCATACTTAATTCTAGCTCATCTTCAGCGCTGACCCCAGTCGTCCTGCAATGCCCCGAGTCCGTCTGCCTCGTCGACGACGGGTCAAAGTAATTTTGCGCACGTTCATTTCCTGTGGAAAGTGCACGATGAGGAAAGCGAATGAGAGAAAGAGGGATTGGGAGTTGGCGGTGTGGTAAGGGAGGGGAAGGAGGGAGTTGTACAGGTTCAGGTTAGTGGTTATTAGAAGCACATGAAGCAAAATGTTAATTTTGAAACCCACACTGTCGAAGGGCAGTGGTAGTGGCTGCTACTAGATAAGGCAGAGCCAAGATGAGACAGGAGTTCAGAGGTGCAGAGAAAGAACTGGGAAAAAGACTCCTGGGTTTCTCAGTGCACCTCTCCACGGCCTGCGGTGCTCTGGGGCCTAATTAGCATGCTGCAAAAGGTCATGGCAAGCAATCTCTTAAATATGACTGCCATATGTTTTCCATGTTCAAAAGGAACTAATGAGAAAGTCTACAAGCCCAAAAGTACCTGGAATTTCAAAGACAATACCAGCTAAATACTCCGAGGTCAGCGGCCTAGAGAAGGAGGCAAGTTTGGGGGAGTAGATCCAAAGGAAAATAACTTGAGCCCATGTCTCATTGACTTCTTATTAGCAATCACTGACCTATGGGTATCAAGTCTGCTCCACAGAGTTTATGGGAATCAGTTGGCTCAGGGGCACTTTCTATTAAAGGTACACCCCACCTACAGCTTTTTTTTTTAACCCCTGGAATCATTATCATTGCAAGCCTTGAATATTTTCGCTCCAATCTAAATTGCTTGACTTGTATTTCTCAGATTGTGGGGGGGAAAATGGATTAAGTCATGTTATATATTCCACACAAGGCGCGTTTATAGAAGTCTGAGGGCTTCAGTGATTGGTTGCGTAAAAATGCGAGTTTGTTTGCATAAAAGGACCACTGGCCATTCGGCCACTACCCCCCAAAAAAATTCCACAGAAATTCTTTTGTGTTCTTGTAAAATATCTGCATGAGGTTTTCCTGCTCTTTCATACTCCAACTTAAACACTCAGACTGAAATACTTATTAAGAGTCACGCTGCTACATGACTCTTCAATGGTGTCATAAATTGACTGTGAAATTCACATGTTAAATCCCGGTACGTTGTTAGCAGAGAGTTTGAACAATTTCTCCGCAAATAGCTCTGAGGTTATGAAACCCTTTTTTCAAATACAAATTTGCATAATGGTAGTAGCTTCGTGAATCGCCTTTTGAATCATAGCTGTGATTTACCTAAATAGTCTGGCTGCCCTCCAATTCATCTCTCTAATGAAAATTTCAATTATCTGTTCTTCATGCACAATATCTGTAACTAGCACTTCTTGGCAGCCAGAGATACTGTTAGCAGAGACCAAGAGATAATGAAAGAGTCTGGAAAAGGCCAAAGTGTCACAAACATGGAACATTTTCTTTTTGGATCTTCCAGTAAAGGCACACAAGTCAGAAGTGCTTATTGTGTGCTACTGATTCATAGTTTGTGGATTCAGAGCCTATAAATTCTTCAGTGCATGTTCAATTTTATTTATTTGCAGTGTTTCAGCAACCATAAATTGCCTTCCTAATCAAGTCCATGTAAAAATGGAGGCAGTCCATCAAAGCAGGCTTCCCTTGTCCAATCGCAGCGCTACTCTGAGTTACTGGCAGTCAGATGTAACGCTCCTCTCTGAACGGATGGGGCTCGCTCTCTGATTCCGGATTTGGTCGCCTACCTTGCAAATCCTTATAATGGATATTGACAGTGTTTAATTCACACCAAATGCGAGCCGATGGTGGGAGAGAAGAAAAAAAGATGATTGCTTTTCCAGAGCAACTTGAGAATGAACTTTATTTTCCACCCAGGATTTGCTCTGCCTCTTGTGCATAAAAAATAATGACAAAATAGATAATAATTACTAGCCATACACAGCAAACGCAAAATAAACCATATTAAATCAAGAATCTAACATGTGACTCATCCCCGAGAAAACTGGCACACTCACAACCTCGAACACATCCTAATTTACCATCCCATTCCTCAAGAGTTCTCTCTGACATACTGAATTATAAGGGGGCATATTCGTATGCCTGATTGGCCTTAAGCTGTGTTTTGGGGGCGTTGTGAGTACACCACACAGACAGCGGATCGGCTCGATAGCGTAGTAGCGTATGTAAATGCACTCTCCTATGACTCCAGCCCACCACAAGGCATGTAGCCGAGAGTGGGAGTCAAGGCTGATTGTGTCGAGGGTACTTCTAGATAGAGATAGAACACCCACTACTGTAGCGTTCTCCAGCGAAGGAAGAAGTTATACGAGAGTTGCTTGTTAGGACACGCTTGCTTTGGAATGCAGGGACGAAGGGCCCCCCAAATGGAAAGCTACAGACTGAGAGAAGGAAAGAGGCAGTGAGAGAAAGGTTAGATCAGGAACACATCTACTGTCAACAAATTTGAGGCTAATGAAGAATGAAGCTTCACCTCTTTCTTTGGCAGGGGCTCGCGGCTCCATTTTTTTTTGGTGAGCTGCAAGGGTGCTATCTGGCCTGTCACCTCGAATTTCTCTCCCGAGCCAAACCGGAGGAATGGAACGCTCGGTGCTTCTTTCTCCATCAAAGGCTGGGTTTTCAATGCCCACCACATTAGCTCTCGCTTCTCTCCCTGACAGAATAAATAGAAACATAAATGAAAATACAATGACACGCAGGGCCGGGACAACACTTACATCAAAGTGAGTCATTAAGAGAAAAAAGAAAAAAACAAGGCATATTTATAAACAACAGAATTCTATCGGTGCTTTGACTGCCCCGAAATGTTCAAGCGCATCCTCCTCGAATGATGCTAAAACACAATTAGGTTAAAATTAAATCAGAATCTTGCAGGAGGAGGAGAAAAAAAAAAGAGGAGAAGAAGAAATGATTAAAATAATTACAAATTGCGCCCTGACAAGCAAGAGCAAAATTTAGCCCAAAGCCATTTGTCTGTAATTAGTTAATTAATCCTTACACAAATTATGAGCAATAACTCATCAAGCAGGACTCACCCATCAGAAATTCAGCCGACTTGGATTTCTTCTGCTTAGGTTGCTGCAGAGCCTTCTGCTGTAACTTCTGGAGGGAAATTGTTAAATGAATAAATTAGCTGCAGAATGAAGATCATCATTTATGATCCGCAACTAACGCAGTATTTTAAATATGGGACGACACTGAAATGTCATTTAATTTACATCGCCGCTAAAGGGGTCAAGCACTAATTGAACAACAGGAGTGGAAAAGAATTTAATCATAAATAGATAAGAAAAGTTGACATGAATGTGTAATGAAGGTCACATTAAAATACTCCCTCCTTGTTTCTAAAAAGAATGGGCAACAACACTCGCGCCTGGAAAATTATGCATTTTCTTTCTTTCTTTCTTTTTTTCTGCACAAGCTGCATGAGAGTACACCGTCTCGGTGTGCAAATGAGTATGGAAATCCAGGCACACTTCTCATTACTTCCATTCACATGAACTCAACCTAAAAACCCTCAAAGGAGGGAGAGAAGTGGTGTTTAAATAACATTATGTCAGGTCTCCTGCATTTGGTAAAGACAGATTTTTGATGAAGGACTTATTCTTGAAGATGCCGCAAATTTAATATAAATGGCGGCAGGGGGAATACAAAGGCAGGCTAAGTGAACACTCTATTCCGACTTGGAGTTGTAGGTGGTCTTCACTGGTATGAAGTGGAAAGAAAAAAGAAGAAAGGCTATAAGAGAGAAAGTATGGGTTTCTTTGAAATCAAGAGTATGTGGAACAAACCCCGCACTCCCACATTTCTCTCATTTCTGCGGACAAGCAGAACAATAAGAAAGCCGAGGTAAAAAGCATAAGTAGTTGTTTTTGTTATTGATATGTTTACATAAGAATGCGCCATATAAAAGAGCTTCGTTGCTCAGAGCGTATGGAGCTTTTTAAGCATCATTTTATGCAGATTTCAGTGATGAACTGTGCTCATGCCCATGAACAGCATGTATTTGTATACAATATTTAATTTCAAAGGAAAAATCAAGGGGCAGAATGGGTGGGGAGGGCTTATTTCGACTCTAAATGACAGAGCAATTAAAATAGCAGAGGACTACTTCCAGACCAATCTGGTAAGAGGAGTTTTTGTAAATCTGTTTTTACATTCAACAAGCCCTACAGCAAGACATTCATTTATACCACTGAGATTAATGCTTATCTAATTGTAACTTATTTAAAAACCATTTTCTTTTCGACTGGGTACCAATCATTTTCTCTGAGTTGCACATACAAAAATGAGAGACAAATTTGGCATTGGTGAAGATGTCTCCATGTCGTTTCTTTCATTTTCTTCTTCTTCTTCTCTCTCTCTTATTTTTTTTTTTTTTACATTTCAGTAAACAATTTACAGAACTTTCTGCACTAATGTTCAGGTGCATACTCAAATTATCGACATTCCCTGCAACAATTAGAAGAAAATTAATCAGACAGTTCTTTTTTTGCTAATAAAAACGCACACACTCTTCATTTGTACACCAGACAACTTAAATAATGTTATCCTGTAAACTAAAGTAGTGATTTGAATAAGCTAAATGGTATTTGCATTCTTTATATGGTATTAAAATGCTGATTGTTATTGGAACCTCAGAGCCAATTCGGAAATCCTTAATGACTAAATATAAAATAATGTCCATCCACACTACATTTTTCCCCCTTGACACTAAAAGCTTGTTGTTCAGCCTTTTAACAACACATACTGTGATTAGAAACATTTCAGATTTGTTTGCTACTGTGATTGATTTTCAGATTCAGACTTTAATGGTCTGCATTTATAAGTCCTTTCAACACAGGTGTTTGCTATTATTGTTCAATGTTTCTCCCAAGGACACTGTGGCATGTGGCTGGGGATTGAACCACAAACCATCTGAAGAGTGGACGTTTAAGATGAAGCCACCCTTTATGCTAACAGCCTAATTAGAAATATCTGCAATATCATTTACTTCATAATTTATAGCAGACTTTACATTTTAAGCACATAACATGAAGGGTTTTTGGCTCTGTTCTTTTTTTCTTTCTTTGTCCTTACACTGGTTGTCCTCAAAGCATATTTTGTATTACTCTGATTTATAAAAGTTCCCATGTTTCTAACTGTGCATAGTGCAGTGGTTCTTAACCTTTTTGGAGGTACCGAACCCCACCATTTTCATATGCACATTCACTGAACCCCTCTTTAGTGAAAAATAAAATAAGATTTTTTTCAAATTCAAGACATATATATGTTTTTTACTGGTGCACAAAATGAGCCGTGCATGTCACGGCGGAGGCTCTGCCGAACCCCTGAGATCGACTCACCGAACCCCTAGGGTTCGATCGAACCCAGGTTAAGAACCACTGGCATAGTGTGATAGCTTCATGCCCTGCAAATAAAGGTGTCAATTTGAATATAAGGTAACCAAGTAAAGAGCCTAGACTCTATATGGTAGCCCCAGACTCAGTGCTCTGGGTGCACATCCTGCCATGTAAAACTCTCTGTCATGAAAGCTAAGAAAGGACTCATTTAAAAAAAAAAAGCCAACTAATTGGTCAGGTGCAGGATTTACTATGCAGTACACTGGGAAATGTGAAAACCAGCCCAAGCCAAAGTTTCTGCTGTTTTCTGTGACTTTGCACAAACATGTGTTAAACTTTTGGAGCCGCACCAAAATTACACGCCAAGAAATTTGGATGTATTATACCATTCACAACAGCCATACTGTAAATAGTAGCACAGCACAACAGGCCTATTCTCTTCCCATCTGAAGGCATCTACATATGCCCCTTTAAATCCACCCACTCCACCTCATTTCACTGTGAAGCACACCAAATGCTTACTTTGCAGCCAACATGGGAAAAAAATCATTTACAACGGGTGACAAAAAAGGAGAATCGTGACTTTTTTCCCTTTCTTTCTTTTTAAATGTGATTGTTGTCAAAAGGAATTGAGCACAACAATGCCTTGTTCAGTTCTTGTTGCATTCAAAGGCATAGCTAGAAGGGCTTGGGGAAGACCGCTCGCTGCTAGGGGCTGGTGGGCACAGACCAGCTAGAAAGTGAATTTTGCATACTGTACGGATCATCGCCCAGTTCAGCCCAGTCACATTGAATCTGCCATCAACCAATTGTGCTTCATGAAACCGTCAACCCTCATTTACGTCTGCCTGTTTTCTTCCCCACACAGCTGTAAACAAGGCCCCAGCTTTGAGCTGTCTTCCTCTGTCCCTGCGCGCTGCTTGCCAGGGGAGAGTAGACAGCAAAACCTTGTCTTCACTGAGCTACTTAAAGCTACCATTTCCAGACAAGCACCCTGCGCACTAGGCAAAGGATTCAGGGACAAGAGTGATTCTGGAAGTGACAAGAGTTTTAAGAGCTTTACACAGAGATCCCATAATGTGTTTTGTGTCTTCACTGAGCTCCAACTTGTACCTAAAAATAATTTTTTATTTGTCTTGATCAACACAGTTTGAATCCAAGGGTATGATACACACAGCAAGTAAAGTCATTAATATACATATATGTGCGACTACACATCATAACTCCATGCAATAAAACGATGTGACAGGCATAAGTTGAGCCTTGCTAAATCAATGACCACTTTTGTTTTCATGTTGACAAAGTCTCTTTTTATCTATCCACATAATAAAAATGGTTATATTGATAAAATGTCATAAGAATAATTAAAACATCTACAAAGCATCTCTATTTAAATGAATGTAGATAAGGTTAGCATTTTGTTTCAAAAGCATACAAAGCCAGTTCTACCCTTAAAATGTGAAACCGTCTCAATTTATAGAGCAGCCTTATATGTGCATGGTAATTGTGACCCGCCAAACAGTTTCTTCTAAACAACAACCGCGTCAGTTGGTGTAGACAGAAAACATAATTAGTATTCAAGCTTAATTAATCTACGCTGGCCCCCTTTAAGTGAATTAGTCAATTATTTATGCATGTGTGCTCCTTTGATGCTAACAGATTATGTATGTTGCTGGAAAAAAACCTTGAAAAATGACTTTGAAAACTTTCTACCATAAAATGTCACTACAAGCTTTTGTACCGACTTAGAAATGTCATTGAAGGGCATGAATTCTGAATGGATGTGAAAACATAAACTGCAGAGAATCTGTAAATTCTTATTGTTGCCAAATTTTTAGATAAGTCGTCTAAACGCTGCAATTCCAAAATCCAGGGAAAAATACAGAACAAATACCAAAATAATGCCAGTAAATATGAGCCAAATATGCTCTTTTTGTCCTAATCCATGGAATGGAAATCTAACACAGGTCGGATCAAGGTCTTTCCTAGGATCATGGGAACTCCTTGGGATTTTCAAGAGCCTTTTTGTTTTTACCCTTGAGAACCAGGCACTGGCCTCTGCATCTCTCAGTCCCCCCCCATTGAAAACCCAGAGGCAGCACAGAGGAATGCTAAATGTCAATGGTCAGGCTGCTCCAGCACCTTGAGAGAGAGGGAGAGCTGGAGGTACAAGGATTTGACCTCGCTGTGTTCAGTCACACTGTTATGAGGGCCAGAAGTGAAACTGTACTCACACTGCCAAAGGTGTCCATCTCCACAAACTGCAAAAGATCATCACTGGCTGACCCTGATTTCTGAACTTAGACCAGGCCTAAAAAAAACAGAATGTGTGAAAAATGGTGGAAAAAAAATAAAGTTAAACCGAGGCTCATGAAAAACTAAAAATAAATAAAAAGCGCAAAGAGATGCTGCTATTGACTTAATTTCAAACTTTAAATTTGCCTCTTAATTTAAAGCATACCTATATTATTAGAGCTATAAATCAAAAAAAGGTTTATTTGAATGTGCGTACGAAAGCCTTTACTGCAGCACACACAGCAGTACACACTCTCCTCCTGCTTGTGTGCTTAAAACCGTTATCTCTGCAATGCATCTCAGAGAATGTAGGACACTAAACACCATTTATTATCACAGATAACAAATTATTTGCCTTGATTATTCAAAGTGTTTATTCATTTACATCTGATACAATATCATTTGGTATTTTTATCGTCTTTTCCTATGGTAATTCACATGGCTTGCACAAGTTTCTGCTGAAATAGCAAAACAAACCCCAGGCAAAATGTGAAAGATTATCCCATACCATGCGAGCTAGGATGAAATGCTATACTTTTTCACACTGAACACTGCTCCACTGGGTGTGATTGAAAAACATGTAAAGCTATTGAATCTGTGGTTTGTATATGTGAGGGAAAATGAGTGTTGTAACAAGTGGGCCAGTGTTTTTGTAATTGTTTCAAATTACACTCGACGTAATAACTCAGTGAAAGCGGAGCCAGTGTGCGGTCCGCGCACATTAACTAGGCAAAGACCACAGGATATCTATGCACCTTATCACGGCCCACAAAAAAAGAGAAAAAGAAAAAGGAAAGGAAAAAGCGATCGCGTAAACAACTGTGGAGAGTAAAACTTTTCAGCTACATTTCCAGCTGCATCTATTTGTGTCTAATGGCGCTTATCACCAGAAGAAGGATAATACTTTTAGATAAAGAGGTGCTTTGTAGCATTTCCTGTACATGTGTATTTTATTGAATTAAAGACACCCTAACATTCCTGTTTTTAATTTGGTGAACTGTTTTTCTGGCATTGTGTGTTTGCATGTGTGTGTGTGTGTGTGCAAACGTTTTACACAGGCTGTAAAATTGTGATGCTGTGAGAAAAATAAGTCCATTAGTAGTTAAAACTAAACACCCTCTGCCAAATACTGAGATTGCCAGTACTCTTGTTAACCATATAAAGGACTGGCTCACTTTTCTGCTTTCCGTCAACAGCCATATGTGAATATATTACAGCACTGCACAACAAACCCCCAAAGTCCAGGAAGTTTAATGCACTTTCTGGACTTTTTTTTTTTTTTTTGCTAGTATCAATCCAAAAAAAAGACAAGAAGTTTGGAGTTCTCTGCTGTGTTAATTTAACTCATGTGTTTACTGAGCAATACACCCATGCAAACACACTCTGCCGACACGAGCCAGGGTGCAGCTAAATGATCTATATACGGTTTCCTGCAATTGCATTTGTTTTTGACCTGCACACCACAAAACTGTTCAATCACAGTAAAATGGTGGGAACAAGCAGCTCGGTTCAGAGTTTAAAAAGACAACGCTGCCGTCGATTGATTGCTGTTTTAAATTCTGGAACTGAAAATGTTTCGGCATTTAAAGAACTTTTTCACGACTTTTTCTGGACCTTTCCACACAAAGCAGCATTTTAAAGGTTTTCTCTCAAAACTTTTTAAGAGTTAAACTTTATTCGCATAAATTCAAACACTGAATATATTAAATAAGGAGCTTGTGCTTTACCCTAGACGTCTAAAATAGTGACAGCACTAATATGAACAATGGATCTACTGATTAAAAATACCGCAAGTGTGTGCATTGTTCCTCAGGAATGTCACTATATTTGACCTGCAACCTTTTTCCATCTACTTCTTTTGCCCTGAGAAAGACCATCTCCTCTGTCATCTAGTCAGCTAAGCTCAATCAGCCCCTAATCCAGAATGACAGTGGGATCAGTGTTTGCAGTAGACAAGGCACTTCCCCTTTTTTTGAGGCATGGTGTGACCTGAAATCTTCCCTGACATTTTTTTTTTCCGTTTCCACAAACACGAATCGGGGCTTTAATTCAATAGTCACAAAGAGACAGGCCATCGCGCACCAAAGAATATTTTATTTGCTTGCAGACAGAAGCCTTTTCTTGTTCTTTGACAACCGTCAGTCTCCCCCAAAACACACAGTTCACACGGCTGACAATAAGAGTCAAAAAAGGGGCCAGGCTTTTTAACATTTTGCATGCATATTTACTTTAAATGTGCTCTTTGCATTTTATAAATTCATAGTAACATAAGAAACAATCCCTTTTTCTGAGTTCTGTCAAACTGTTCCTCTTCAGGTAAATTAAAAGCAGGTAAGAAGGCTTTTCACTAAACTATGTAATTTGATCTGAATGGATTATTAAGCCAAACTTTTGCAAATAACTAGCACACCATAACAGTAACTGAATACATAGATATTGTTATTACTTAGGATTAAGAGGTATGTTACCTTGTGAAGTCAGAATCCTCCCTCTTTATGGTTAGCTACACCTCAGTCGCCAAGGCGATAGTGACGCAGGTCCTAACAGCAGGCCCTTACACTTGGTGTCAGATGACCTCCTCATGTTCACTTTCACTGGGTGAAAGTACACGCGTCCGGTTTTAAACTTTTTATATCTGAAAGATAGCACACAATTCATTATTCGAGAGCGGCAAGATGATTGTTATGAATACGACATGAATGACAGAAGCAGGAACTGTGAGTTATCCAATTTCACATTTTGGGGAAGGACATTTCTGACAGTTTGTGGCAACCCATGACCAACACCATTAAGCTGGCAAGATAAAGTCTGGTCAGTGCAATAGTTTCATCTAACAGATGGCATTACTGCTCAACAAGGCTGAATTATTAATGTGGAGTGCGGTACGGTGCTTCTTCAAACAAATGTTTACATATAGTTTCACCTGAACAAAAGTACGAAACTTCTCCATTTTGTCATCGCTCAGTGTCGATTCCAGTGAACCTCCCAAACTGACGTTAAAGTGCTCGTGCTGCTGTGTAAACATCCATTATGTAGTATGTGACAATTCACACGAGTCGCATGCATTATTTAAAGGAAAGTGCAGACAAATGTATTTCTCAGCCAAAGAAAACCAAGCAAGCTTTACAGCTGCTATGAAGGATAGTCACAAAATGCCCAGCGGATTGGCCCATTCATGTTTGGCATAAGGCATATTAACACTAATGTCTCCTTAAAACAGATCATGAACTACTAATGCTTCCCTTAGAACAAACAGTCAGCCTCTGTTTTATTTATGACTGCAAAGCCATCAGGCCATTGGTGGCCTTTTCAACTGAGGAAGAGAGATTGCTCATATGTATCAGCAATGAATAGCCCTCATTTGTTTTTTGCCACTACGGAGTCACTGTTTTGTTTTATCAAAAGTTTATGATAGCTGCTGTGAACACTCTGAGTTCATTCAGGGGACCCGTATCACACTCTTTCTTTGGTTAATGAACAAAGCCGAAAGCAATCAGAAGTTAACTACGAACAACAACGCATCATTAATGCACGTTTGAATCAAAAGCAGTATTTACAGGATCTATATTACAAACCTCTGGGATTTTTACATTTGTTTAATTTTATTTTTGCTTATTAAGCTGGTTAAATATATTCTAAATAAGATGCCCACCGATTTGGACCTCCCATTTTCTGCCTAAGCTGTCATTGATCGTTTATGCGATTAAATATAGACCTAAATCTCCATCTTATCCAATTAATTCTCTTTGCAGGCATGAGAGTGGCTAATGATGTTATCTTACCTAATTAACCTGTATAGGGATTCAACTCCAGGACAGGGGATTGTTCATCCTTCATCCAAGTGTTCATTATTATCATTACAATCATTATCATAAAAGGGCCAACTTATGATGTTGGCCATTCCACCACTATTAATCTAGATTGAGTCTTTTTTTCTCATTTTGGGGAGGGGGATCCTTTGGGTCATTTTTAATTATCACTAAAAGAATGGGAATTCTTGCAAAGCTGAGTAAGTTCAGTTGTGGTCACAGCAATCACTGAAATCCCACGAGGCCACATTACGCGAATGTGATCCGACTGTCTATGACTGAAGGGACATTTCAGATTTTTGCTGTGTTTAGGGCCCCGTGTCCCAAATACATTGAAACTGTTTCTACAGCTTTCTGTCAGCTTTCCATTTGAGTGTGGGCTTCAACCTATTAACTCCGCATACTTGAAGAAGATCAATAGCCTTCATTGGGCCATGTGTCATTAGCTAATCGGATATTGATGAGGGTATTGACACACACCTAATTAATCTCAGGCCTGGTGCTGGCTTTCATATGTTTCCTTAATTATGCACTTCATCTTAGTCCCAACACATCAGCAGATTTCTGCTTCCTGTGTGACAGTGAGTAAAAGTTACCTGTCAAGTCTCACTCTAGCATTTAAAGTTTTTCTTCCTATGTTGCTCTTTTAAAACTGGTATTAATTTTAGGAGTACTGAGTAAACAAGCATGTTAAGCACATTAAGTTCTGAGTCAGTTTCCTAAACCTAGTATTATTGTAATCATTGCCAGGGAAATCCTATTAATATAACCTAAATGTTAATATGTTTAAGTTCTAATACAAACTTATATTCGGTGTCACATGTTTTTTTTACATCCCCTATATTGTTTGTGTTCACTTGTCTGCACTGGTGAAAGCATCTTCCTGCATACATGGCACAAGTTTAATGTGAAGAATGAGTAAAGCATGCCAGCTTTATGCATGTGTGCACAGAAAGCATGCATACACACGATATATAGGTAGGAGGACCTATGCATTCATGTGCACGTCTTTGCACAAACTTTCATATACGTTCACATGTGCTTTTTGTGCAGCTGCATATGTATATCTGTTGTGTTGAAACATCCCGGCTGATCAATAGAACAGCGCGCTGGTGTACAGATGAGAGAGCACCTGAAGGTGACCCTGA